AGGCGGTTCTGAGAATGCTCTTTTCTCTCACCACGCTGAATTTTTTTGTGTGTTTTATTTTGAGCTGAGAGTTTGCTTGTGTTTCAAAAACCAGAAGGGGTCGAGATGTTTTACACATCTAGAGTGTGCTGAGGCTGGCCCTCCTGTGGAACAGTGAGTATTGATTAGCGCCAGAGCAGCTATCCCTCACTGTAACAAAGCCTATTGATGTTTGTGGAGCCCTGATTTCCCCTCGGTCAAATAGCATCCGCAGCACCATCGCTAAGTGACCGGAAAGTTCTCGGAACTCAGCGGTCTGTCCCGAAGTAACCTGGGAATAAAAGAGTGGAAATCATCTTTTCATCAGCGCCTCTTCTGCTGCAAAACTAGAATGAAAGGATTTCTTTCTGGGCTTTTTGCAGTAGGTCAGCTTATATACTGAGGAATGATGTGCTGATAATCTATCTTCCTTTCCTCTCTTGTCAGCCTTCTTCTGCCATTACAACTATTGTGATAAATGAAGGCTCAATTTATCAACCAGCCTCCACTCGATTTATTTTTCTCCCCTCGGAAGCCCCCGCCCCCGCTCCTGTATCCAACCTCCACGCGGCACGCTTTATTTCTTCATCCGTTTTTCACCCCCCTGCATCCATCCATCCCTCATTCCCACTCAGCCACATCGGGCTCTCTTTGTGTCTGCTGGGGAGGCTGAGACGCTGCCTGTCACCCCCGAGCTGCAGACTCCCATCCAGGCTGCCGGAGGTGGCCCGGCTGCTGTCAATCAATCTGCAGCCTGAGTAGCAGTGGGGATGGGGGATGACACATGATGTGGCTCCCTGCTGCTTAGAAATTCACTACTTTACTTTTTTCTAGAAGGCCTCGTATATTTCTGGCTTCTTAAATTAATTAAACTTGATCATGCCTCTTTGAATTGAAAGCCTCTTCTAACCAATAGGGTGCGTCAAACCAAACGCTCCCTATTCAAGGCAACAGTCCGACCATTCTAAGGTGCTTGTTTCAAATGTAACCCTCGTGTATTTTCACTTCCTGCTTTAAGTGTAAAGGTTGTTTCCTGCTGGTGAATTCATGCTTATGTTGCACTGTCTCACTCGCTAAAACACATGTTTAGGGTGACAATGTGTCATGTTTCTGTTTACATCTGGTTGTACTGTCCACAGCTAACCAATCAAATGTGTTACCGAACCAAAGCTGTTCAATGTCACACACCGAAATGCAATGAGTGTGTCCCTGAGTGTTACGTTTGCATTGTTTACATTGCATTCAATGTCTTAAATGTACAGTATTTATTTACCATTTATAAATGTTACCTATTTAAACTCGGACAAACCTAGCACAAAAAAACTTAAACCTGAACATGCATCAACGTCTCAAGAAGTGAATGGATGAAGTACATCTAGTTAATAAGGAAACAAAACATAACAGTAAGCACTTAAAACAAGAGTTGCTTGCCGCTTTTAAGAAATAGCAAGATGCACTGGCGGCACATATCAGACCCGGGCCGGGGGGCGGGGCCACATGACCGGGCCCTTTAAACCCAATAAAGCTTGACAAAAATATCGGGAGTCCGGGGTGGTAATCTGACGCTCGTGCGTAAAAAGTCGCTCAGTCAGTAAGATTACAATTTAAAACAATGTTTGAAAGAAAAGTAACTAAAGAAAAGGTGTAATATTTAAGATTTCGTCTCTGTAAAGGGTATAGAAACGAAATATATATCAGAGATAATAATGATATAACATGACATAAAGTCCAACAAACCACAAGGACAACGAAAACATAGCCTAATAAAATGACTACATTTCTGACACACCATTCACCATGGACAGCCATCCGCCACCATGAGAGCACAGCAGTGTAAAATTGGCACGGCGGCCCATACATTCACGTACAAGTAGGCTACTGTACAAATTAAATTTGAAGTGTACTCACCACTACTTGAAGGGCACTCGGCGAGCCTTGCGCTCCGCGAACTCGTCAACAATCCGCTGTATGTCCAATTTCTGGCGTCTTGTCTTTTCTGATGGACAGGCAAGCGGCCGAGTGCCAGCTCAGTCTCTCGCCGGTTCCCGATCGTGGGGCTCTGCCTCAAGTACGTTTTGCATGAGTGTTGTGAATTTGCGGGCAGAGAGAAGGAGGCGGTTGACGTGCACAGGAAGAGTCAGAAATAAGATGAGGGCTGGTGCAAACCTCACTGAATGTAGATGTTACTGCTGGGTTTGTAAAACAATGAGCATTTTTACCCAGATCCGCCGACAGATTTTAGTTTTTGTATTTGGTCCCTGAAACAGGTTCTGAAAGAAACAGCCTGGCCAGGGAAGCTGGCCGGCGATGTCCGACTGTAGTGCTCTCTAAGCCGCTGGGCAGCTTGGTGTAAATCTCAACCTTTGCTTGTTAGTAGTGTGTTGGGGTGAATTGCCTCAAACATGTTCACAGTTGCATTTAAGCTGGTGTGATCTTGGACAGTTGCTGGATGATTATATCGAGACATGCCATTGAAAACGGTCACCCGAAAGTTGCTCTCTGCGTCAGTGAGGCGGCTGTCTTCAGAAAGTTCATCAAAGTGTCTCTTAACTTTCCTGCCCTGGTTGTTTCAAACTGTGTTTGACTTCCCATTTAGTAGCCAGGGCAAAGAGTGGCGGACTTCGCCTCATCAAATTGTCCCTATACTCCACCAAAAACACTGATGGCATTTTGCAGTAGAGTAGATGCTTTGAGAATATCCGCGTCTTTTGCTTGCAGTAAAATGTGAAGCACCAATTTATGCTTTCCAAAATCTTGGTCTGCATGTTGACCAAAAATAGAAAGCTAAATTTGCTTATGGCATTCTTGAGTGCACTTGCTTCATTTGCGCTCATCCTTTTTGTCACTGGTAAGGGATATTTTGACGAGGGCTTTTATAATGTCTCCATATCTGTGCCTTAACGCAACAAGCGCATCATGGCGAGATGACCAGCGAGTGGGACATAAGCGTTTTAATGTGATAGTTCTGCTCTCTGGCGTCATTAACTCACTGAGCAATGCCCATTCGTTTGATACTGTGACCAAAAAAGTTGTAGAGCGTCTCTACAGTGTCATAGAACTGCTTCACTCCAGGGACATTTTTAACAGAGTCGTTGAGTGCTAGGTTGAGATTATGAGCAGCGCAATGAACATAGTGTGCAAGGGGCTCCTTCTCGGCTATTCTTGCTTGCACGCCTGAATACACACCACTCATATTAGCCGCCCCATCATAGCCCTGTCCGCGACATTTAGACAGATCTAATCCGTTTTTCTCTATAGAACCAAGGATTTTGTTTTCAAAGCTCTGAAGCTGATGAACCTTTCAGTCACTTCAAAACCCAAAAAGACTTCATTGATCTGTATATCTGTTGCAATATCCATGTCGTTCTTAACAACAGTTATATAGCGGTAAACCTGACTCAACTGGTCTATCTTGCGTTGTGTCCATGATGACGGAATAAAATGGGCTTCGTTTATTTCATCAATGATGTCAGCTTTCACACGTTGAGATAATATGTAAATAATCTCATCTTGAATCTGGTGACTGAGGTATTTCACTGACCCTTCTGGTCCGTTGATTAGCTCTTTCAAAACAGGGTCGTAGCGAGCCAAAATTCTATTATTGACAAAAAGTTGCCAGCTTTTCCCTGACCTAGAACCTCTCGATGGCCCCTGAATGCCAAGTTGCTTGAAGCTAGAGTGAGAGTTACATTAACAATGCGCTCCACGACCTGTCTCCAAAATTGGGCGGCATTACGCACATTCCTCTCCATGTCAGCGTCTATTGTGCCGTTGGTTTTCCACTGCTCATATACTACGCATGCACCAAGGTGTATTTGAGTGGATTCATGCCTCTCAATTTTAGTAGAAAGATGTTTCAAGTCTTTTATTCCGTTTACCCATGCATTGTTGTAGAACGGTGCCTTTCGGTTGGCAAAAAGCCAGCAAGGCTCACAGTAGCAGCAGTCCAATTTTGGGGAATAGCACATCCAGCTACGTGGAAATTTCATCCCAACTTTAGTGGTGGAGGTGTAATAGCTTTCTGAAAAGCAACGGTTATCCTTGTCTTTGGGAAATGGACCTTTGGGTTTGCATGGGCCCATTTTAAGGATATATCTTTTGATATTGACGTCCTCAATGTTTTCAAAATAGTTTGCCCGATCAGTCGGAAAACGCTCCAGAGGATAATTGCAGGACACATCATGATCCGTGGTCTGAGTTTCACCCGTAGGAGTAGCGTGAGGAGGAGACCTGTTGCTGCTTTCATTCCCAGTGTCCGGTACTTCTTCACCTTGCGGCGCAGCAGGTAAGGAGCTGGAGGGGAGGGGTGCGGCTGGTCAAGCGTCAGGCCTGGCTCTCCTCTAGACGAGCAGCTAGCAGCTGCTGAGTCTATTATTATTATTATTATTATTATTATCATCATCATCACTACAGCCGAGAGACAGAAAAGGAAATAAGCTAGGCGGCCGAGCTACACGAAGTAACAACAACCATGATATCAACATTTACCACAAACTCACATTTTCTTGTTGACAGTGTGTGTCCGTGATTGTAGCCTACCTGTAAATCTGGCTAACCCCCACTAACGTTGTTGGCGGGCTGGGGCTCGGGGATGAAACACGGCTGGCAGTGGCAACAACTTCAGGTTCATCTCCCGCAGGAGGAGGAGTAGGGCGAAAAAAATATCCATCTAGCTTGGACAATTTGGCTTTTCCTTGGTCCTTTTTATCTTTTTCTTTGCGTTTTGTAGCTCCACTTTTGTGTTTATAACTGCTCATGCTTAGGCAGTGCTCTGTTGAATGACAAGTGATTGATGATGACGTTGACGTTCATTTACGTATGATGTTGATGGACGGCTGTTGATGACGATTTTACCCAAAATACATTTGGAGACAATAGAAGGGATTTACTTGCAATTTTTCATGTTTTAATGTTAAATGTCAGTGTGAAAATAGCAGCACAAGTTCAACTCATATTATAGGCTACAATGCTTTATACCTAATATGACCACGAACGTCAGTGCACTCAGTGGCGCGAGGCAGCAGGGCCCGCCGGCTAATATCTCGGGGGCGGAGCCTGCTGCCTCGGTGACGGGCCCCCATTGGGTCCCGACCGTCCCGGGCCCGGGGAGCCCCGCCCCTACAGCCCCCCCTGAAGCTCCGCCCCTGGCAAGATGAAAGGGATATGCATAAATTCAGAAATACTTTTTGCTCCCAGATATCAATTGATCTCTGTGCCGTAATCATGGTGGAGTCTCAGTGTTAATGTGATCCCTCTCCCTCCGTCTCTGCAGGACTCCGTGGTTCAACGGCTGGGGGTTCAACCTGCCTCGGGGTCAGTCTCTGCTGGATAAATGGAACCTCGTCCCTGAAGGCATCGACATCCTGATGACCCACGGACCTCCGCTCGGTGAGTCCAATTAACCAATCACAGCCCCCTCATCACCATATCTAATGAGGTTGTGCCTCATTATTCCAAATCTGTATGGAGTCACTGGAGGCGTCTCAGCAGGCGGCGTGTGTAGATGTGTGTGCGCTAAAGCCAACACTGTTTTCATTTAAATCCAGCAGTATCTAGAGTCAGATTTAATATTTGTGTTTGACTTTATGAAATACAAAATACATATTTTTTTTGTTTTCACTTCACACTGATTCAGTTTTCCTTCTAGTTGTTTGGGCCCCAGTTTATTTTTTTTGCTGTTGTGCTCTTCATCTGGCTTTATTGAGTGATTTCCTTTCCTCTCGCCTACGAAGGGTTGCTGCTGCGGCCGCCGCTGTGGCGGTTTGATTGCATGGAAACTCGAGTTTGCAGCATTGTGACAGACGCTGCAAACGATTGGAGAGAGACCATGGGAGAGGAGAGAGAGCTGGGGGGAGGGGGATGTTGAAGATGTAGGAGGGTTTTCCAAATCTAGAAGACAAAACTAATTGAATAAAAATAAGGGTTGCACAAAAGACGAAGAAATCTGAAGAACGAGTTGCATAAGCAAGAATGTGTTTGACTGGTAAACTCAGGAAAAGGGGAAAAGGCTAGTAAACAGTAGTGGTGTTTATTCATTCACTGAGTATCAAGGTTTGGTTCTAAACGGGCGAAAATACTGCCAAAATATAAAAACCAGTTGGGGCTGACCTCAGTTAGAGCTCAAAAGTTTACTTCATCAGGTCAGAACTGATTAAGCAAAATATAATTATTGCACTTCATGCAGGAGAGGAAGTCCAATATGACAAAGCATTTTCAGCAGGAGAGACTTTGAGCATGTATGTAGCAAGATATAAGAGAATATCTGTTTCTTAATTATTACTTTATAACGAAAACGTAGGCATTTAGGACAAGTGATAGCATATTGAAGCCTAAATAAAGAAGATTTTTTTAACAATAAAAATTATAAAGTACATTTCTAATGTCACGTATACGGAGGAGGATTAGGGCCACATGATTTCTTTTTTTGGGAGGATTTTTTTTAAAAAGTCAGAATTCTGACTTTAATCTCAGAATTCTGACTTTTTTCTCAGAATTCTGATCTTTAAATACATTTAAAAAAAAAAATTGTTTTGTTCTGAGAAAAAAGCCAGAATTCTGACTTTTTTCTTTTCCATACACGTACAATAGGAATCAGAGCCAGGAATGAATAACAACCAGATTCAGAAAAATAAATTGGAATCCCTTAACACTCGAAGAACAGCTCACGCCTCATTAAAGTTCAGCTCACCTAAATAACACATTTTAAGGAGAAAAAAAAAGGTTCTTGCTCGTCACTGTTTTACTTTATTGATGGTCAGATTATCTGCTGCTTTATTTTAAACCCACCTAGTTAAGGTCACGTGTTGCAGTCTGTGGAACTGAAGTCTGTGGAACTGAAGTCTGTGGAACTGAGACGTCCTGACCTCCTAACATGTCTCTGTGTGTAGGTTTCCGAGACTGGGTTCCTAAGGAGCTGCAGCGGGTCGGCTGTGTGGAGCTGCTCAACACGGTGCAGAAGAGGGTGCGACCCAAACTTCATGCCTTCGGAGGCATACACGAAGGTACTGAGAATAAAGATAACCCTAAACGAGAAAATGTAAAAGAAAAAGAAAAAAGCAGATGAACTTAATATTTCTTAAGAAAATATTGAATTTCAAGAGTACATTTAATTAAAATAAATATATTTAGCACAAAAATTACAGATTTGGTGGAATGATTTTATCAGAATTGTCCTCCCTGAGTGTATAGTGTTGCATGTTTCCTGTTGCTGACGTCTGTCTCCTCCCCCCCCCTCAGGCTACGGGATCATGACGGACGGCTTCACGACGTTCGTCAACTCATCGACCTGCACCGTCAGCTTCCAGCCCACCAACCCCCCCATCGTGTTCGACCTGCCCAACCCCTCCAGCTCCTGAGACCAGAGGAGGGGGCGGGGAGGGGCCAGTGCACCATAAACTCCTTTTTTTTCTATAAATATGTCAAGTTAAAAAAAAAAAACTATAAGTGTTTCTTTGCAAACTTTTTGGTCTTCTCCAAGCTGTTGTTGAGATTGAGAAGATGTGGAGATGTGGGGCGGGGATTGGGGGGGTTTGTCGGGGAGGGTCAAAGGAGAATCCCGGTGTTTGTTTCCAACAATACTTTCCTGCGTCAATTTCCAGTCAGCGTGGTGGCAGATATCAGGGTTTGTTCTTCTCCAGAGGAACAACAACGTTATTTAATCTCATTCATTCTGAGAATTGCATCATGCAAGTTAGCATTTTTGGTATCTCCGGGTTTCTTTTAATCACTTTACAAATACAAGTAAAAGTGACAACATCATCCAGGAAATTATCTGAGGAGAGCAATGATTTTAGGAAACATTTTTCTCTGATTAAGATTTCATAAAGTTATTTTCTACAAAACAAGCTCATTTTTTCACACATTATTTCTTTAACAAATTAATATTTGTGTTGGGGGTTTTAACTCAAGTTTACGTTTCTGACATAAGGTGTTAGATTGTCACAAAAAAGTAAATGTCATAATGACAGGCGAATCATGAGGGATATCAACATGATTGTCCCCTCCGTACCCTAGTACCATCAATTCTGCATGTCTTTGTTAATTTGGAAAAATCATATTTAAAAAAATAAGTGACAAAGTCTACATGTATGCAATGTCAAATTAATTTGGTTGAATTTGAAACAGAGCTGCAAGAAACACCGGTATTCTCCTTTTCTGGGGGATTTTGTGGTTAAACAATCTTGCTCTTGATAAATATTGGTCAGATCTGTAAGATAAATGATGCTTTGTGAATTTGTACAATTTCTTTATGTTTGGCTTGCATTGGCCGGACAATGGATGCCATCGTTTTATGTTGTATCATCTGATATTTTGTGTTTAGATCAATTATTTTTCTCTCGTCAGTTCCTCTTTTCTTATTGGCTGACAGGGACGCTGCCTTAAACTAGCTTTAATGTTTCAGCTAGAGCCCCACTCTCTGCGAGCTCAGAGAAAAGTCCTTATTTATTACCCGCAAAACAACACCTGACCAACGCAGGGACAGAAAGCTATCAAATTACAGCCCTTAAAATTAACTTTGTAACATCCCATTATGGATTTCTGATCTAATTTGGAAAATGTATGTATAAAATATATATAAATATATATTATATATTCATGTTGTAAAACATCTGTACTAAAAGTAGTGTTTGACAAAAAAAATGAAAATCTGGTGCATTTTCTTCTGTATGCACCAGTATAATTGACTTGTTTCTTTAATGCTCCCATCAGACGCTCTTTCTTTAATGTTTTTTGTACGGACTCTGCCAGTAGGGTAGACTTTCATTTTGGATGAGAGAGGAACATTTGTCAGTCACAATCCAACAGGTGCTGGTTGCTCCCAACAACACGCCTGCCTAAACCTGGTAAAGCTGTCCTTTTAAAGTGTACATCTGATAGTATTTGTGTTTTATTGCTTTTCTTTTTTCTAATTTTGCACTGTGTGTAAATGCAATCTTGCTAGCACAAAAAAAATGTTGCCAATAGTTGTCTCAACTTTGCCGCTGTAAATGCTCTTCCCGTGCTCTGTTCCTTTCTCGCTCTTTCTCTGATTGTATCCCTCTTCATGGAAATGTTAGTTCTCTCTTTCAGTTCATTGTGATATATTTAGCTGCCTTTATATGCAAATAAAATTGCAAGATTTTTACTTATCAACCTTTGTCTTCGTTTTGAATCCTAATCTTAAAGGTATGTTGTGTCTCTACTGTGACGTGTTTCCATGCTTTAAGGTTAAAAAAAAAGCTCTTTATTGTTCTCACACTGCCCGTGCTGCAGCACCTCTTTTCACCCTCTGTAGTTAGAAGAGGTGGGGACTCGAGTCACATGACTTGACTCGAGTCACATATTTTTTGATTTGAGACTTGCTTGACTAACATTGATAAAAGACTTGACTTTGACTTGGTATTCATGACTTGAGACTTGACTTAAGCTTGAGATGGATGACTTGAAAGGACTTGACTGTTTAAAATTAAATATTTTGCGTTTGTTTTTTATTGAGATATTACGTTAGTTTTTTCGATCAACGTGATTATAGCGCCATGCGCGCAAACCTGGCAACCCACTAGAAGGCAATGGCATGAGTCTCAGTTAACATGGCAGCGACTCGCTTTACTCCAAAAATAGTGAAGTTTGGATTCAAGGATTATTTAGTCGATGACGGTAATAAGAAGAGAACAGCGGTATGCAGGGTCTGCAGCATAAAGATCAGTTACAGGACCACCACAACATCCAACTTCATTCGTCACTACAAAAAAAAAAACACAGAAAGGTACGTGCAGGGGTCACCAACCTTTTTGTCACCGAGGGCTAATTCAACGGTACTGAGTAATACGAAGGGCTATATTTGATACAAACTTCCTGAATAACATAATTGCACGGTTCACCTTTAATGATATTATTATTAATAATAATCAGAATACATATTAATTTACTGTATGTGAAGGACTGTCTGATCACATGTTAATGTTAATTATTCCTCACAATAATTATTAACAACGATTTACCATTGCTATAGCAACCCCATTGTTTTGTTATGAAAATGTATCTATATTTATACACATTCTCGCGAGATCTATCAGGGGTCGTTGTAATGCTGCGTTCACACCGGACGTGACTTCGCTCTAATCGCTCGAGTTTCACCGCTGCTGCCAGCTGTGTTTACTCGCATCATTCAAACAAGACGCGCTGGCTCGGGAGCTACAACTACAACAAAATGAACATATTTTACCGTGATTAAATTGTAATACACGTTTCTAAATGATGCCGAAGTAACAAAATACTGATACCGTTTAGTAAAAACCATGAATTAATGCTTGACAAGTCTGCAGAAAAGACGGCAGGCGAAAAACCTTTTAAAATGCTTGTTTTCTGAATGGAGATTGGGTCGACCAGGCTAAGCTAACGTTGTATATGCTCATTCCACACTCATAACAACGGCCTACAGACATAAATAAACCAGCGACTGTATTCGCCATGACACAGACAGTCTGTGGTTTGTACTTGTTTAACTTTTGTCCAGTTTCTGAAAAGATATGAGGAGCTGTGATCTCTGTTTGCTAAGTTTTCTGGTTGAAAATCAGTGGCAGGCTGA